ATCCTGAGAGCAGAGCAGGAGTGACCATACTGCAGTTCACAGTAGTACTCTCTACTCTGCTGCAGGAATAATTAGCTCACTTAAAAGTTTCCTTCTCTGTATTTGGAGGCCCTGGCAGCATGAATTTGTGACTGTATATGTAAAAAAAGTAGTTGTATGCTTACTTTATGTAGTACTTTGGAAAGCAATTCTGCACATCAACGGGCCTTTTTTTTTTTCCCCCCCTCTTTTAAATTTTATTGTTTTAGTCAACAGTGATTGCTGAGCAGTTTCTTTTAGTAATGTTCTGTGCCTTTCTTTTAACACAACAGGGTCTGTTTCCAATATTTTCAGAGTGTTCTTTGTCTGTTAATCTTTGCATTTTTACTCTCTATATATTATTAGTCTGCTTTCTGGCTTCAAATTTTTTTTTTGTCTTTCTTTAAAATCTAGAGGAATGCTTTGAAGTACTTTCTTTCCATGCCTTCTGTCAATTCCATTTAAGTTTTTCAGTGGTAGGTTAGGTTTAACATAGGAAAGAAATACACCCATCTACTGCAAATGTCACCCTAAAACTCTTGAACTGCCTTTGTTTAAGCTAAAAGCAAACAAGCCCTTGCCTGTGGCCTGAAACAAAGCATAGTGAGCTTCAGACCCAAAGCATTAACTTTGCAAAGTTACAAACAATTAAAAAATGGATGTCTTTAATTCTTCTGTAGTGCCACAGTGAGTGGTGCTCACAATAGCAGAAGTCCTTAATACCATTTTTGGTTGAGTGTTTTGGCTGAAAGAAAACTGAGCGTATGATACTTCTCTTTAAGACCATAATGACAGTGGGATAACAGCTGTGAATGCTCCTGGTGGTTAGCATATGAGACCTTGGTTTGATTCTTGTCCAGGGTACATACTAGGGTCTGTGTTTGCATGGCTTACACCAGGTTTGTAGATATTTTAATATGCTAGGGAGACAAACTACATGTTTGGTGGGATATTGGTGGTTAGAGTGGTTAAGAGTGAGGAACCAGGAGGAATACGACCAACAAAAACTTTTGCTGGAGAATAAAAATCCAGTCGTGTAGAGCTAGGACAGCATCAGGCAGGTTTTGAGAAGGAAGAGAATCGAAACTTTCTGCTGTTACATGTCAGGATTAAATGTTCCTCTTCCAAATGTACATCACGGACTTGCCAAAGTGGAATCCTAGTAATAATACGTGCATAGTGTATTATAAATTACCTGTGTTCATCTAATCTGTATCCTTTGATACAAACCAGACCCCAAGGCCTGTGACGGAACTGATGGTTATCGTCAGCACGGAGCAGTTAGCGCATGCAAACCACTGCACAAATGTATAGCTAAACATTGTGAGACCTTTGCAAAGTAAGAAGAAACATCCCTTTGGGGGACTTTGGATTGAATTAGTGTTGAAGCTAGGCCAGTGGTCACTGAATTGACTGCAGTGGTCTCTAAAATTAAAGGAACTGTTTCCCAACTCTCCTGTTTCATAGACACTAGTTAGTTAGTTCACTAATCTGTTGGTTTATAGGCTCCCACCATATTTTGCAAACACTGAAAGTGCTCTTGTGGAGAATATTTTACTTAATTATTTAGTCTCCCCTCCTTTGAACAGCTTTCCCCTAGATGACATTTTTCCATCTTTCTTGCATCCTTAATTGTGTGCTGATCCAGAGCAGTCAGACTGACTGGAGACATGAAGCTTTCCAGTACAGCAGAGTATCTCTTTCTGTACTTGTTTTCTGCACCTGGTCAGTTACACTTGTGGCAGAAGGTTGGTTGTGTGTCAGACCAGACACCTCTCTTAAGAAACGTAGAGGGGAGACAATAAGTATTTTTTTTCTCCAGATCAATCTCGCTGGTATTAGTGGGAGTCAGATTTCTCTCAGAATGGTTAATGTTCCTTGAGAAATTATTTGCCAACTCCCTTGAAAAATGTCCCAGGATTGCTCCAAGGATTGAAATCTTCCATCTGCTACTGTGCTTCTTTGCAATCGGGCTTTTCTACAGCTGGTGAGTCGAAAAGTAAGTCGTTGTATTTGGCCAGATGTGATCCTCTGCTGTCATACATACATAACGCTTGCAAATTCTGCTTTCTTTTTTTCTTTGAATGCCCTATAACCTGTCATCTGTCATTTGCCCTTACCTCTCAGTTAAGTATTGTATTATCTGTATTCATCCTTCTTCTGACTCCTTTATCCTTGCTGTCTTTCCTCCTTCCATGTACAGTTATTTTGAGCTGTGTTCCCACCTCTGTATCCAAGCCTTCCTGCTTCTCCCTTCGTCATAGATTCCTTGCACAGACCCTGGCCATCTGTTCCTCGCCCTTTGCATCCTTGTCTTATGTTTGGGGCTTTTTTTCAATATCTCGCTGCCTTCTGCTGTTTCTTTCCTTATCCTCATCTTTTATTTGTTGTCATGGGAATACCTACTGTGACTTCTAGATAATACACAAAAAAGCTGTGGTTTCATGTTATTTTGTAAATTCTTGATTGTGAAGACAGAATTAAAAAGAAAACCCAAGAAATTAAAATCTGTGAGAGAAGAAAGCAAAATCTTGAATAAAATTATATAAAAATCGTCATTGCTTTTAAACAGAAGATCTTCTAATCTTCTAACCTTGTGGCACGGCAACCTTGCATGTTATATAGGTCAGAATTTAAGAAATGTCTGTAGTTCTCAGTGTTTGTCTCTTTCGTGATTAAATGCTGTGGAATATGGAGGACCAAGAAAATAATAAGATGCCATACTGGGAAACATGCTTCCAAGCTGGAAACCAGCTTTTATGATCTTATTGCAATTCCCTGAGAGCTCCTTCTGTGATTCCATTTTGGAGAATGCAGAAACAGTCCTAAAGAACTTCATGAATATGAAAAAAAACAGAGAAGGCGACACCTTTATGGCCTCTCGTGTAGAAAGCACTGGCTTATTCTTTGCAGTTGTATACAGGCCTAGATAGGGTCCTTGGCTTCTCTGCTTCCTCTGCGAGTTTTGTTCCAGAAAAATTCTTTTTTCAGAGATAGTGAATGATGTGTGCTCTGGTGTTTGTCTTCCCTGGGCTGCATGAACTGCAAACTGCACCTAAATACTTGTCCTCTTCTGAACTGGATACTTCCGTTGAGTATGGCATAATGTGGGGACTAACACACTTCATTTTTTAAGAATTTTGGGGAAAGCCCGGAAAGAGTACTGTTTAACTATCCACCCAAATTAAGATGTTGGTGTACTTCAAGCCACATACTGAAACCCACACTGCTTCTGTGGTTACTTGCACTGAGAGCAATGAGTAAACAGCTGGATCTATTTTTCCCCAAATTATATGTGCCTTACCATTAGTGTGATTTCTATATAAATTCAAGAAAAACTATAACATTCTTTTTGAAAGATGAATGTATGTTCACACGTGCATGAACACATACTTACCCAGGAAGAGTAATTAATTCTTAAAAATTGAACAATAAAAGGAACCCCTAAACCCAACGGGCTGCAGTTGGGCTGGGTACTAATCTATACGGACCACCAGTATGGAGTTTCTTTTTACCATTAAGGCTGATCTCTAAGACTTGGCAGTAAGCTCTGCCTGATATTTATCATTCATTTACATTTAGTATGTTTCTGAAAATACAGACTGCATGTGAGTTTAAATAGAAATTGAGAAGTGATTATAGCTCCAAAACTGTTCTGTTTGCATTGTATGAATGTGGTCTTGGTGTTTCAGCTTCACAAATATATAAATGATATGGTTAAATTATCAAGGCTAGGGATTGCAAAAAATCTCGAGGAATGCTTTTCCACTCCGTGGGATCCTCAGTGAGAAAGGGAATGTAGACGTGGAGATTCCATGTGAGGGTTTGGGGGGAAGGTAGAATGAAACCTGGGCTCTGACAGCCACCTTCATCATCTTCACAATTAGCCTGATACACTAGTTTTCTACTTGGCTCGTGCTCAGAACATCTTAAAGCTAAACCAAAGAGCAAGTACTTACAAAGTATGCTATTGTTTCCTTTTTGTTTGTGTTTTTTTTTTCCTTTTTGTCTTTTGTGTTTGGTTTCAAATGAAGTAACTAGTTTCCAATCTGTATTTTATTAGAATTTTTTTTTGCATTCTCATTTATCTCAATTACTATTTCACAGTGCTTTGGCTAATGCTGATTATTGTGTCCCTGAGGGGCAAGTCCTACATCCTGCTCAGTTTAAGAGTTTCCAAAGTGTCTCTGGAAAACCTCCAACTAAACTGGAAGGGCATGGTTCAAGATGGGTGGCAGGTTAATGGAGAGAGATCTCTCTTTACAAATTATTCCTTCTGGAGTAAGAGGAAAATGGAGGGAGTATTCACAGCAGCCCTGTGAGATGCAACTTCTGTTTGATGCCTCTGCCTCAGGCCTGAAGGAAGGGAACTCTGAAGTCTAGCAGTGTGAGTGCAGCACAGAAAAAGGGGGCCGTGGCTTTACCTTTATAGCCTTTGAGCTGTAGAGGCTTCTATTCACCAATATGCAAAAGGGATTGGGGCCATGCCAATGGCATCCCAGACTTTGAGAAGACTGGTATCAGCAGTTGAGCAGGTGGATCTGCTACAGCTTTTGTTACTGCTTCCATTGAATAAGGAGAGCTGGAAAAGGACCAAAGGAAATAATCTAATCCAAAGCATCCATGTCATGGAGTCCTTTGCATAGAGATGCGAGATTATGGTATGAAATAGGATTTTGGTCCTATGCTGAACATGCAGTACATAACAAGCTTATGTGCAGCGGGAGTGAAAATTTCTTACATTTTACATTGCTTCCTGTAATTCTTTTCTACAGTTCAGAGCTGCAGACATATATGTTGGTGCTTTTGTATTTATTTTGTGTTTATGTTTATTATATATTATAAATATATATTAATTTATATACTTTAAAGTTTATATCCACCTGTTTATTTAAATATATTTCTATGTGTACGTATCTTATAGGTATGTTTAATATATGTTACTGAAATAGGTTGATTTTGTTCTTTGTTTCCTTTATCAGTTTGCTGAAAGCAGTCAGAAAAAAGAAGCTTTACAAAAAAGCATTGAGAAATCAAAAATTGGACGTGAAGATACTGTAAGTCGCTTTGGGGGGGCGGAGGCATTCCTACCAAGAAATAGGGCTGCAAGTATGAATGGCTTGTGAGTGCTAATGTAGTCCTTGGAAATCCATTAAGAATTCTAAATGCTGGAGATGAGAAAGGGACAGAAAAAAATCAGATATTAGATTATTCCTTAGTTGATCATGCACTAATGAGTAAAATATTGACAACTGGCTGCTCCAAGGCTGAGAAAATGTGTGACTGCCTGAAGTCTGGTAATCTTCCAGGCTTTTTCAGATTTAAAGCTATCTTAAAACTTGAACTACTCAGAGGTATGTACCAAAGTTGCCAATGGTTGCTGAACTGCTAAATATAACAACTACAAACTTAGGTGTTGGGGGTCCTCTTTTTTTTTTTTAAACTTATAGCTAGATTTCTAAATTATTATTCTGAGCAGCCATGTAAGCTTGGTGCTCTTTGCATGCTGAAGCTGTTAACACTGCAAAAAAATACTTAGGCTTCATATTTACCTTATATATGAAGTAGTATATTACTTAGAAATATTTCGTATGGTATTCTAAGTTGCTGATTTGAGAGGCTCAGTCTAAGGTGGTTTAAACCTCCAATAAATAAATATATAAACAGGGACAGCCAGAAGCTTTCAGGTAGAATTAAATTTTGTAGGAAAGTGCCAAATCTTAGAATCCAGAATGTTTGAGACTTGGCCTTCTCCATGATGTGGCCTGCCCTCATCACAAGAAGCTATTGGTCCTGGAAATCCTATTCTGGCTGATGCTTCCAACACTTTGGTTCCAGATTATACATCAGGAAGAAGTCCTGAGAAATCTAGATCATGTTGCGGGTCTCTGAGCAGCTGGCCTCCATACCCCAGCATCTGGAAGCTTTTGATTTCCAATCTGCATTTTCAGAACGTGCTGTATCCAGACTGTTGACAAAAGCACTGGGAATATGGAGGTGCGGGAAAAAAAACCAAAACAAAAAAACCACCAACCCCCAAAAAACTACCTGAGACTGCTGGGCTGCCATGGAGATTGCCATTGGCTAGAAACCTGATGGTTTACAAATTCATGCTATCTGGCTTTTTTAGGCTACCCAGTGCCCTAGGATGAGTTCTTTGAATATCAGCCAGTTAAAGTGTTTGGTTGTCACTACAGACTGAATTAGAAGTATGTGCTGAGTTGGCTATCGGAGAGCTTGTGTTGAGTCAGTGTCTGCAGATTCTTACTGGTCAATAGAATATTTGAGGTCAATATTGTGTACTCTTCCAGTGAAGACTACCATGGCATAAATATCTGAATTTATTTTTGAGACCACTGCTCTTAAGTTGTGGGGAAAAAAGAAGGAGAAAAATAAATTCAGAGTGTGTTCATACACAGCATCCCAATTTGTGGAAGCATGAATGACAGGTTTTTCTGTAATGCTGTCTTTAATTACAAGACTAGCACTCCTAAATATCATTTAACCTTTAAGCCCAACAATTAGATCTGTTTGGAGTTTGTCAAACCACATCAAGTTCACAGGTTGTAGAAAATTGTTCTTTTGTTTATCCATTTTAGCCTTAATTTTTTTTTTTCCTTCCAGTTTGTACTCTATCATTTAGTGTGACTGAGAGTTCTGTGTGTGCATAAAATGCTCAGCTGGTTAATTGACAGGAAACAATAGTGAAAGCAGCTTTTAAATTTACATAGTTTTATTCTTGAAAAACGTTCTGTGCAATAATTACTGATTTTTATTTTTGGGGGGTTTTTTTGGTGGTTTTTTTTTTTTTTTTTTTTGTATTTCCCAACATACTTTGAATCCTCAGGCAGAACGTGCAGCTCTGGTAGAGGAACTTGCTGCCCTCCGGCAGAAAAAAGAGCAGCTGAAGGCAGAAATAGACAAATACAGAGAATGTGATCCAGACGTCGTTGAAGAAATGCGTAAGTTGTATGTTGTTTAAAGTGAACTTTTGCACAAAAAGGTCTGCACTTCTAACTTAAAATCTGGTATACAGAGATAAGCCAAAGAATAGCTGCTATTCTTTTTAAAGCTGTAAGCAATACCATACAGGTACATTGACAGTTTCTTTTCACGTTCTGTTGTATTATATAAGAGGGGTTTTATTGATATTTACCAGCAACTGAGCAGTTAACAAAATCCTAAAATTGAAATACTTTGATGCATTAGAATTACTGTCAGGACCATGCTTTTTAGAACCATATTGATTCTATAACTTCTAAGTGTACTAAACCCTAGAATGTGTGTGTAGGAAGAGTAGTCTCTGGCTCCCGTTTACCTGCAATTCCATGCTGGCAAAACATACTTTCTACGTACTTTGTCTTGTCTATTTAGAACATAAGCATTTCGTTACAGACAACTGTCACTTACATGTAAGTATGGTATTGCACTGTTGACTCACTGTTTGTACTGTCTCTGTGACGTGCTGGGTTTTGGTTGACATTTCTAATTCTAATGGAATATGAGGAATGATGAGTGACTTTAATACTGAATACATAACTGGTCACTGAAATGTACTTAATATTCTGATCCCCAGCATGAAAAATGAAAAGCATGCATGAAATTTTATTGAATTTTCTCTACTTCAACTTCCATGTTTTATTTATCAGGCTCTTAGGTTGCTACCCAAACACCACTGCGTATTCAGTTACTGTAATGCCAAAATGCCATTATAGAGTGATGAGGAACAGGCACAGACCTTTTTCTGAGAAGAAAGCTGACTGAATCTTTCTCTTTCCTTATACTTCTAACAAAGCCCACAGCTTTAGAAACGTGCTGAGAGAAAGCCAGGAACATAAATGGAGTTGGCAGCACACCCCAAAATTGGAGAGAAATTATTTATTTGGAGGGGCTGTGACTTTTTTTTGTCAGCTGCATTATCTTTCCCCAAGGATGTAATGGTATGCCAGGGAATAAGCAAACTCAAGACCTGAGGTTAGTTACTGTGCTGTAAATCCCTCGCTGTGTGCTCTCCTGAGGACAAGTAACAGACACATTCCAGCTGATTCCAGCTGTAAAAATGAATGAGGTTAGGCAGATACCGACAGCAGAGGGATTCATAGTGCCAGGTATTTGAACTGCTGAGATACCCTTAGAGTAACCATTGCACTGGATGATTTGAGCAGCCTCTCTTTTGAAGGAGTTGCAGTGAGCATGTTCCTAAATACATGCACAAGGGGGCAAATCACAGCTTGAATGCTAGGGCAAACTGCTGGCAACACAGGGACAAATATCCTGAAAAGAGGCAAAGGGAAAGAAATATAATCATTAGTTACTTCAGTCATGCCCTTCTCTCTCTCGCTTTTTTTTTTTTAAAGTGTGTGTAAGTTTTCAAAGTGGTTGGTTGTTGGTGGTTTTTTTTTTATTTTTAAGTGTGTGGAAACTTCATGGGAGCTTCTGCAATGGAGGGATGAGCATTTAAGGGAGTTGGTGAGGTTAGCCTTGTTGAGGTTAGCAGTAGTGTTTTGAAAATAACTTGCCCCTGGCCTTCAATTAAAAAGTTTCTGCTTCATTATATGTTTCATCAGTCATTGTTGCACTGGCAGTGCACATTGTTGCTGGCAATGTATAAATAAATGGCGATGTCAATTTTGGGGACTTAGTGTCTTTGTCAAAGCTGAATTGAATTTTACAGGGTTTAAGGGCGGGGGGGGGAAGGTTGGGGGGCATTTCTTTTGTTCCAGAGTGCAAGAAAGTGCAAAGGCAAAACAAGATGCAGGAAGTTCTGGGTTTTAGTGTAAGAAGGCAATAAAGAATCTCAGGCAATGGAAGTTGTTCAGCTAGATGTGAAAGTTACTGCTGCTGTTTCAGGGAATAACCTTAAAATCAAAGTTATCAGTTCACAGATTTTTAAAGCGTTTTCAAACTGCACGTGAGTGATATGATTTTATACTAGCTGTGCAGTTTAGATAATGTAATCCTTGTGATTATTTTCAGTTATATCACTTGAGCAGATTACTAACTCTAAATACCTTATTTCAATTTTGAGTCAGAAATAAGAGATGGCTGTTATGTTATATAATTGCACTCTTAAAAAGAGCTGGATAGTTCAGTATAATATGTTTTGTAATGGGCATTTGTCACTTTCTACATTTGGGTTTTCCCTCTTCTTCCTTAATGACTTCAACCTGTAAGGAAATCTTTCTGATGCTTAGTATAAAATTTCACTCTATTAATTTCCCATCCCATACCATAGAGCTGCCTTGATTTTTGTTGTGGTATTTTAGGGGTATATCAAATTGTCATCTGATTTCAGTAGCCTTCAAATTTGGTGAATGCTTTGCTATGCCTTTTTAATTACTCCTTTCCATCAAAGGAGTATTGCAGAAACAAATCTATTGTACAGCGATGAGCCTCATTAAAACAGACACACACACTAATTCCAGGGTCAAAACAAAGTTTGGATGATTCATAGCAAATATCTAAAGACTCAACTTAAAAGCCAAACATCTGTCTTGCTTCTTGAGTCTTGTGGTGGGAAAGTCATGTTTGATCATATAACTAAATATACTATAATGCATATTCACAAGGGGGAAAATCAGAATACTAAAATACTGACTCTGTTTTTTGCTGACTTCACTACTTGTCCTTTTAATATCAGCAATAAATGTTTTGCTATATGTTGGCTTAATTTCCTTGGCTTTTGTATTGGAGAGAAGAAGTATAAACTCTACTGCCTTCCCAAGTTTACAACATTTGAATGCAGAATGTCAGTATTTGTATATAACAATTAACTACAGTAAATAGCAGAAGAAACAAGATTTAGGTACTGACCACTAGAGGAAGCTCCATAGTAGTCTGGTCTTGTGGATATATTTGGATAATTCCATTTTACAGGTAGGATATTGTAAAAATATATCTAAAATTGCAAAACATATGGATTTCTTCTAAGGACCACTGCAGTTCAGTGTTGAAGTTTGTTTTTGACACTTGGACATGTTGTTTAAGCCATCTTGTGTGAGTTAGGATTGAGTAATAAATTCTTCCTCAGCATTAAAGGCAGTAAAACTGACAACAGTCATTGGAAGTAAAAAAAAAAAAAAAAGATAAATACTGGGATTTTATACTTCTCTGTTAAATTTGTAATCCTGCACCAGCTGAAGCAGGACTGCAGAGCCCTTGTTTCTCAGCTTTGAGGCAGATTTTTGTAGGCTGGAGGATATTCTCATGGCGAAGCAGCCATTGTAGAGAAGATATTCTCTGTTCCTCCCGGAGAAAGGCTTATATGACATAACTTGTATGTATGCAAAGTTGGATACATGCGATACTGCTAGATTCCGTAAAGATTATGGTAGAGGACAAAGGCATTGAGAATGCAAGCTTTCAATAATAGTTCATAATTTATCCAGATTTCCTTAAGGCCAACAAAAAAAGCTCCACGTAATATCAAGATTAACCTGCTACCTAAGTTTAATTCTTTCTGCCTGCCAGAGAGAGATGTTAGGGAGCTAATAAAATTTTTCTGACGATTTTATAGAAAGGTTTGTCTGGCAGCCTAAGTGTACAAATGATATGAATTTTTCTCTGAGTCGTTCGCCAGCTTGTAACTGGAAACAGCTAAATATTTTCAGTGTTCACTGTAAAATAAACATTTCTAGAATTTCAAACTTACTGTTCTTCCCCTGTAATTAGAGGAATGTTGATTTATACTATATTAAAAAATTGTTGGGTCTTAGCTATTTTTTCATAGTAGCCATGCTTTGATTACTTCGTGCCTTTGCATAGGACAATAATCTCAGAAATAGCTGCATACTGACTGAAGAAAGTGTCTTCCATGTGCTATGATTCCTAATATTTATGGGGCTGTTAGATGTTAGGTGTTGCCTGTCAGCATTCCTGTTTTATTTAGCATGTTTTTAGAATGTCCAATTACTGATAATTTTTATCTCTTAGGCTTTTACCTTTAAAGCAGTGATCTGAACGTGTCTAGACAAACTGTATTCACAAAAATTAGCAAACTGCCAGATACAGCACATGTAATGTAGCAATTTTCATGTCAATCTTTTTACTTCTGCTCTCTTCGTTTAGTTTTACCCTGTAGCAAGAGGCGTAAGTGGTTCAGATGGCCAGGATTTCAAACCACAAATACCCAGATAGTTATCCTCTCGAATCTCCAAAGGTGCGATCTCAGAGGCGTAACTACCAGTGCAGTTCAGGGTTAGCTACCAGTGCAGTTCAGGGTTAGATTATTTTCTAAAACTAATACTTACATGGCTGCCTGAAAATAAATTTGGGGAAAACATCCAAAGTTTACTGAATACTATGAAAATGTCATGCTATATGTAGTATGTACTTGAAAGTGTCTTTTTTTCATTGTCGATGATTCAAAAATTTCTAATTCTGATGTGTCTGAACACTGAAAGTTTCAGCTTGACAAACTGTTGTGAAGAATTATATTGGGGTATACAGACGGTATGAGAAAAGTTCTGGGTTTACCAGTTTCTTCATTCATCTTAATATTTTGAAGCTGGATGTTGAAAAGGCAGTGTTGATTTAGCTGCTGGATTTTGTGGGGTGCATAGTTGGGGTTTTGAGGCGGGGTATTTTTGTTTGGGGTTTTTTGTGTTCATACACCCAGTTATTATGTTCTAACTGTTAGGTTCAAATCAATTTGAAAATGTGTTATGCATACAGATGTATTTAAAGTTACAAAAAATTAGTACCAAGTGCTAGATCCTTTTGGGGGTTTCTTGCTAGTATTGGGAATAGTCCCTGTTCCCAGAGAGGGAACAGTGCTGAAGAAATGAAATGAAGATTAGACTATCTGGCTAATGGAGGGGGGCTCTTAAAATGAGCTGCATCAGTGTTACTCAAAATTTGTCAAAATGCTGATAATTTACAAAATGGTTTAATCAGGTTTCTTTTATATTTTGTGGCAAAGGCTTTGTTCAGAAAATACATCAGAAAGGTTATTTAAACTAAA